TTGGTAAAAACAGAAGCTTCTTATCCTAGGAAAAATAAAATGGGAAATCTTTCAAAGGTGGCACACTACCTTTAATTTTTCAAATCAATTTTTCAGTACGTATTTGGCATCGTACACCAATATAAATGGCACCATCGTGTTCCTGAGCTCAAACTGCATCCAATAGACACCTTTTTTGTTGAAAAATTTCAACTTCAAAATTTGACCTTTTTTGACCTGAAAGTGACCTGACCTAAGCTAATTTCGACTCAAAATGACCTTGAATGACACAGACGACATCAAATTCGAAATCTATGGCCTAAATGGACCATAAAACATGTGTCACGTGACCGACGCATGATATAATATTTTCGTGACCTGTGATGACCTGACCCTGACCTGAAAATCAAAGTACAAGTTTGGTACCCTCAAGGTATCTAGAGCATCTGTTCACGAGTGTGGAAACCAAAAATGAGCCTGATCTGACTTGTAAGACGGCGGCCAGAGCCCAAAATGTGAACAAGCCAAAGTGCTAATAATTTTTACTTTGACCTGACCTGTGACGTCATCGGTGACCTCGAGGTCAATGAAATTAGGTTTCGCTCGACAGTTTTTCCGGGGCTATCAGACGCCGTTTGAATTTTGACGATCGGCCCAGTAGTTTCGGAGTTAGGAGGGGGGGCTATGAATAGCCCCCCCCCCCCCCAGTAGGGCGTGTTATACACAGACCCCAGTGGGGCGCGGGTTAAAGCACACATGCTGCTCTATGTGGCCAAAAAAGGAAATTGCAGAATTGAAATCATGATTAGCTTCTTTGAGCCTATTACAAGCCTTGTACTCACTACTCATGTAGCCGTGGAACGTAGAAGGTGCTTAATTTCAATAAGTGAGAAGGTGGGCTCGGCAAAACAAATTAAACCAGGAATAGGTATATGGGCTCTATATAGGTGGGCAAATCATTTTTATAACACTTTATTTTCGTAACACTCAATGTCTAAACTAAGGTAGCATACCTAGCTTTCTAACCGGCAGTGCAGAAAAATGTACATATGCTTCGACTTATGCAAACAGATTACTAGCACAGTTCTGCACAGCTAGCATTCACTATTAACCCTCGCGGGCCCGGGGGGGGGCGTTTTTCGCCCCCCCTGGCGAATATTTGCGATAGCTCCCGAACGCTTAGGGATAGGAAAGCGAAACTTTCAGTACCTTTTCTCCCATCAATTTGACATCTTCTGAAGTAAAAAAATTGGACCTAGCTCCCTTGATGACGTCACAAGGTCCATTTTTCTAGACCCTGCACGGCAAACTTCGGCGTCACAGACGCAAACTTCAAATAGCTACTAAAATAGAGTTTTAGAGATAAAGACAAATTACGAGCACGGTTGTGTAGCGTTTGACCTAGAGAAAAATAGAAAAATAGTTTTGGTGACCTGAGGTCAGAGGTCAGGTCAACGACCCCGAAATGTGGTTTAGTTTTTCGCAAATAACTTCGACAAAAATGGTCCTAGAGCTACGGCAGTGGTACCATCGCATTCTCCTTGTCAAGCCGCGTCGAATGATATATATTTTGTTCGGAAAAGGTCAAATTTTATGTTGACCTCATGTGACCTCGAATGAACTCTGGTTGACCTTGACACATGAAAGGTCGTTTATGATGGATTTGTATCCGCTGATCACGAATCTGGCATCTATTTTCCTCTCAGCCTTCATTTAGAGCTTCCGGATGGCAAAATTGTCTTATTTATTATAACTAACTTGAATTAGTGAAATAGCCTCTAGCAGGGATACTCTTCTGTGACCTTGACCTTTGAGCAGCCTTGTAATGTAAGATGAACCACAAATAGGGAACTGATAAGCCTCAAAACATTTCAAAACATCTTGGAAGTTAGCACGCAAGATGTGCGAAAAAGTGCCAAGTTTGAGGTCAATTTTGAGCGTGACCTTGACCTTGACCTTTGATTTTGAGCACAGTTTCGGAATCCTCAAATTCTCTTCTTTTGTTTGACACCCAATTTTGCCGGTTTGATGCAGCCTTCCGTCCTCTAGAAGGCTTACTTTGAGATCACTACACATGTGCCGTTTTTTTTATAAATTTAGTCCGAACCTTTTGATGGGAAGGATTCACAAGGACAGAGCCACCGCTAAGCGAAGCTTGTTGCGATGACCCTGCCCTCTACCCTCCGATCGCGCAATTCCGATTCTATGGCAGAATTTAGAGTCCAAAGTTTAACGTGCGCACAAAGCCGTGCACGGCCGGTCCCCTCACTGACTTCGCCTGGCTACGGCCTGCCACCAACCGCAACCATACCTGTCAGGAGGCCCATAAATGTCGAGCGCCCGTCGCGCTTCGAACCCGGACTGTCATAACCGGGAACGCGTGCTCTCACCACGCGGAGTCCAACGCTCTAACCAACTGAGCTACGGGACCGGCAAAACCGGTTTTTGCCTTTGACCTTGACCTCTGACCTTGAAAATTGACCTGAGGTCAACAATTTTAGGTGCTTTAGAATCGTCTCGTAAGGACCTTTCGTTTGGTATCGCTTTTGTTTCCGTAGCTCCCTTATTTACGGAGTTAGACAGGGGGGGGGGCGAAAAACGCCTCCCCCCCGGGCTGCGGTGGTTGGGATTACCCCCCGGGCCCGGCCGGGTTAAAGCCAATGCTTGACGCTAAAAATTGCATGGTCTCTGTATTGGTAAAACGCTCCAGTACGTGACGTTTTACTAACTGCTGTCATTCAGATAAAGCATCAAACACGCTGAGTATCGGGTACTTGTTCTATTCCCGGGTGAGAACACACCGGAGAATGAAGTAGCCGAGCGCATTTTTAGTTTAGCAAAGTGCTCTCGAGTGTTGGGGTGCTGAGTGCACTTCATTCGGCCGGCACTTACAAAACGAGGAAGTTTCCGCGGGAAACGAGTCTCAATTCCTTAACCGCGCTGCCATTGAACAGTTCACGCTGGCAGTACAACTGCAATTGCACGGGCGAAGCTGGAGACCGGGTATTATCGCACCCATGTGAAATGGCCTTGTGCTTGCGGTCTCTGCGAGCGGCTCGCTTTGTTGGATTTGGTGCAGCGAACGCTTTGCGTGCCCTGCATATTTACCCTGTTATGCACTTTTTTGCAATTCATCCTTCAGAATGTTTGATTTAATTAAATTATGTGAATACTCTTTGATGGGAGGCCACGAATACACAGTGAATTTCTATGTTTGTCTCCAGGAAATTCATCTTTTCCTAGATATTCACGATAAGGTGATATGGTAAGCCGAGCGGGAAAGAATCCATATAGTTAGTTTTGTAGAAATGGCCAACATATAATATAAAGAGGCTTAACGATAAATGTAGGCAATAAAAAGCACACAGAAGGATCAGCTTTAAGCCAAGTTTGGAATGACGAAGATAATTAATTCTCGCCCCCCCCCCCTTTAGACATAAAAACGGACAAAATGACGTGGCAAGGGAACACCAACAGCATTCGAAAACTTGTGAAAAGTTCAGTTGAAAATATATTTATCGTCTTTCGCTTTAGGTAAAAAATGACGTCAACTAAGGTTATCAATATCAGTATCGGTCTCCAGAAGGAAGCCGATGTGCTTAAAAGATTATGCCGTACTCGTGCTTTCGGGGACCTTTATATTCGATGAATTTTTAAGCTTGATCTCTAACATGATTCATAGCGGCATGTACAGCCCACCGCTTAAGTAATGTAGGGTTTTACCAATCTCAACGATTGGCTTTGACTGGCGATTGTTTAATGCGGAGTGATCGAAAAGAAGATGTCAATAGCTAAAATTGCAGCTGCAAGGGTGACGATACATATAAGCTACATTCAAAGTTGCATTGTAGTCTGGCTAATCATTCCTAAGCTTCAGAAGCAGAACATACCCATGACTCAAACCCCACATTACTTCTGCTGTGGACTATACGTATAGCACCTCCTTCGAAGACTGTCTTACCTGGCAAAGTAACCGTTCTCAATATAACTACCCGTACCCACAGCATTTTCTGACCGGGTCCGTCTTCCTTCTCTCGCCTCACAGATCAGCCGGGTGGCGACAGACACCAGCTGCTGGAGTGGGTACGCACTCAGCTGCCCGACCAACCCGTGCACGACTTTGGCGCCGGCTGGCGGGACGGCGTGGCCCTTCGGCGCCTGGTGGACCGCCTGGTAACCGGCCACCCGAGTGTCACCGGTCGGCCGGAGGTCACCGCAGACCGGCCCGTGCTCAACGTCAATGAGGCATTCAGAAGGGCACGTGATGTGCTACACAGCGCCGGTAGTGCAGCGCGAGGGGCAGTGCAGTCAGTGAGAGGGGCGCAGAGGGTGGTGGATTGTGTGCCAGAAATAGGTAACGAGTGTTGACGGACCGAGATCATTGGTGCGCGTATTGAATACGAATGTGTCTTACTGGGAAGCAGAAGTGAGCCTACAGTCTAACTACGCTGTTAAGTGTAATTGTAATTTGCTCCATCCAGCGGATTTTCAGTCTCTTGTAGCTATTTTCAGGAAATCCACAGATATCTTTCACGCAAGAGCAAACTGTGTCAGTTTCATTTCATGCTTGGGCAGTGCCATACTGATTACTGGATCTGATCGCAAGCATAATTTTGAAAGAAAAGCGTCATTTTAATTGAAAGCACTGCCAGCAGGCTCCGGTGACCTGAGAGTCTAGATTCTCGGATCCCACCAAGTGTGATCGTCTCGTTTTCTTGCTAGAAGTCATTGGCCACCTCTGTATAATCATTAAAATATGTCGACCGCTGTGCTAGTGCGCCTCTGTGACAGTACCGCCGTAAAGAACCATTCGAGACGGATCCACTGAGAAACTGATATCGGTGCATGTGCAATATTCACCCGTTAGAAGCCATTAGTTTTAGTAATGTAACCAATTGCAGTAAAGCTTCTCCCCCAATGGGAGACATGGCGTCGCACCGCCCTGTGTACGTGATTTACTACTGCGTACTAGAGAATGGCGGTATAAAATTGCAGATATCGACGGACTGACAACTGAATCAAGTAAAGCAATACAAGGTGATTGCAATCTAAAGCAATCTAATCAATCAAGCAATCTAAAGCCAATAGTGATATAAACTGTATGTAGAAATTCAAACTTTTTTCAACCGTAAAGTTGAAATTCAAATTTCAAAGTCAACCCACTCATCATTTTCATTCATCTCTTTAAAAAAAAACATGACAGCTATATAAAAAGTTATTAACGAGTCATGAAGTGTCGTCTACTGCTCATGTACGGAAGTAAATAGGAATACTTTTCGAAGGCATTCTAAAAGGATTTCAAGACATAGGTACAGTTGCGCAATACAACTAAAGGTAATGATTGGCAATAGGGTCCACTTTTGCAAGTCAATAGATAACTTTATGTACTTGCTTTCGGGTGAACGGCATCTTGCAGTGGTTTCGTAATAGGGGCATCTAGTTTCGTCACGTCATTCGTTATCGTTATACCTAGGGATGGAGAAGGAGCAGCAGTCCTGTTGTAAATGAGCACAACTGTGCCATTTGGGGAAAAATGAATGAAAAAGAATCAGTCCTATGCGGTGCGAATTACGTACTATCTTTTTTGCACACATTCGGAAGAATTATCGGATGGTGAATGGGTAAAAAATCACTCCTGACCGCTTGCAAGTTATTGTACCTCACTAAACGAGTTATACCTAGCTACTCTCAGGTATCCCGTATCTGTTACTGATTGCTACCACTCATCTACCGACTTCTCACACCATTTTACCACTCTATCACGCACAAACGGTGCACTACCATCACAATATATGCTCTTAATATTAGGATTGCGAGTCAATTTAATCATTCAAGCGAATCTCAGGGAAGTCCTTCAACACAGCAGTGCCCAAGAAGGTCTGCCTGGTCAATTACAGCTCAATTAACGTGAAACAAATTGCACAATGCTGCAGTTTTACCATCAACAATGACGCTGTTCGCCACCCAATAGCACTCGCCATCCATCATCACTTTCAAAATGAATGATAAGGAAGCTGACACAACAATAGTTTAAAATATTTATGCACAACGTCCTTTGTACATCCCAATGTCAGTCAGGGACTCCATGCATCATGTACTGTTTTTTTTTTTTTATCTGACGCTACACAAGTTTTGATCCGACCCCAATAGAAGTCGCTCCCAGAATCAACCCAAAACATGTAAAAAGATTTGTAAGCATGGGATCAAACAAGAACAGTCGCCATGTTATTAAAATCCCACATCTCCGCCCGTGTGCCGGCAGACGCTGACCGTGACGGACGTCATCTCTGGGTGCGACGAGGACCGACTGGCTGCCTACGTGGCCGCCCTGCGCGAGGCCGCCGAACGGCGAGGGGAGCCCGAACACCCTCCGGAGACCCCCGCCGACATGGCCGAGCCGCCAGCGGCGGCAGCTGGCACCGGTCTGACGGCGCCCACACCGGCCAGCCGGCGCAGTTCGCTGTCCGGCTGCCGCAGGCCGCCCGGCTCGACCTGCTGGTGGAGATGCGCTCCGAGACGGGCGACTACTTCAGTCAGCGACTGACGCCGCGCTCGCCGGCCCGCAGGAGTCTGGAGGACGAGGCGCCGGCGCCCGTCTCCAGCAGCGGCCGGCCGAGGTCCAACATCCCGGTGGGGTACCAGGTGACCGGCCGGACGGTGAACCTGTGGTACCAGCCGCCGGCGGCCGGCTGGCTCTCCCTCAGCATCGTCAGCGGTGGACAGCACGTGGAGGGCAGTCCCTTCAGGGTGTACGTGGAGAGAACGAGGAAAAGAGGGTACAGTGGACGATTCAGACAAGAAGTCAGAGAAAGATGAAGTGAAGGAAGAAGTTGCCAAAGAAGTGGAAAAGCTAGTAGATGCCGGACTGGAATCAGTGACAGAACCAATAAAGGAGCTTTCAGAAAAACCAGTGAAGGATTCAGTGATAGAGGATGGCAAGGAACATTCGGAGAGGGTAGCGGACGAGCCAGCGGGAGAAAATAAAGGCAACTGTAGTAGAAACGGTCAAACAGCCAGAGCCAGACTCAGTAGCAGAGGCAGTGGTAGAGGCAGTGAAGGCGAAAGTGTCAGAAGCGGCTGTGAAGGCGGCGGAGGAAGAAGCGACTGAGGCAGCAGGAAAAGAAGTCGAGGGCCCTGCTGGACCAGAAGAGAAGGAACAAGACGAGACAGTTGAGTCATCATTAGATGAACAGGTACAGAAACTGTCGATGACACAGTCTGAGAGTGAGCCGGCAGATGAAAGGGCTGAGAAAGTAGTAGAAGATTCTGTCAAGGATTCAGACAAGATATCGGCTGCAGAAGCTGTGGAACAGCCACTGGAGGAGTGTTCTGTAGAGACGGCCGGTGAGCCGCTCGTAGCGGAGGAAAAGGAGCCTGAGGATGAAGCAGCTAGTGAATCAGTGGTGGAGGCACCAGAGGTAGCGACAGAAGTAGTTGAAAGAGCAAAGAATATTGTGAGCGAGACAATTGAAAAGGCACTGCAGCAAATCCCGTTGAATGCATCGCAAAAAACAGTGGTGGACGCAGAGGTTGCTGAAGTGATAGAAGACGTCGTGGGCTCAGCAGCAGAGGGAAAAGGAGAATCATCAGAAGGGAGCACGACAGAGTCACCTGAAGAAATAGGAGAGCCGGCAGCAAAAGAAGTGAGAGAGCTAGAAGAGAAAGAAGAAATGAAAGAGCCGCTGACAGAGGTAATAGAAGCAAACCAGGCTACAGCACGGACTGAGGCAGTACCATCTCCTACTCGCCGCACGCCGCCTCTTCGTCTTCTCTCCACCGTTCAGGAGATGTCTGTAGACGTGCTCGTACCAACGGCTGATGACGTTCACCCTGATAACGTCACACCCAACAGTCCTATTCTCGAAGAACAGAAGGAAGGCGAAAAGAGTGAGAATCAGGAAAACAATCAAAATGAAGACAGGAAGCCGTCTACACCAATTGAACAGCTGTCTGATCAGCCAGACACCCTACCAACCCCCGCACCCCATTCCGGTGACAAGGTAAGCTCCGATCCGAATGCAGAGCAGGATCCGTTAGCGGAGCCAGAAAGTCCCGGCGCTGCAGCTTCAAAGGATGCCGCCACCACCACCACCATACCGACAGGTGAATTTCCGGAAGCTGCAGCGGCTGTCTCTCCCAGACAGGTGTCAGAGCCAAAGCAGCGTAGTTTAGAACAAACGGCCGCCGCCCTGGTGGCGGCAGTGGTGTCGGCTGCGGAGGCGGCTCTGGCGTCAGTGGACGCTGGTGGTGACGCCGACCAGTCCGCACAAACACCTAACGAGCATAACGAACCAAATCATCCGGACGGCAAGCCTAACGAATTGGCCGAAATCAATGCATCTGCGGCGGAAAAGACTGAGGACGTGGAGGAGGTGGTGATGCCAGATGCATCACAAGTATCACCCGAGCCTAGTGACTCGCCAGATGACATACCAGACGTTCAAATTCATGACAAGGACTCGCAACCAGAGATAAACCATGTCAGTGAAAATTCAGCTGAATTGGCAGTAAATGCTGAGCCCGCAAGCAACCATGAAGCGCAACACAGTGAAAATCAAACCGAACCAGTTCTCGCGAGGCAGGTGAACGAGGCGCTTGAAAGTCAGATCATGCCCACCAAAGTTTCTCCGGTGAACGCACAGGACGACAATCACACAGGGAAGGATACGATTCCAGTTCACAGTGATAAACCGACAACTCCAAAACCGTCTCGGAAGATCAGCTGGCAAGAGCGTGTGGTGGTGGCAGACACATTTGATAACGCAGAGGCTGATGAAGCGGATGAAGAGGCCGAAGAGCTGTTCACGCCGATGTCTCCCGTGCACGAGTATACACCGTCGCCGCCACTCTATCGACGCAACACGTTCGACGAGCTGGTCGCCGTCACAGACGTTCCCACTCTGAATCGAAAAGAGAGGTGAAAATTCAGCAAAAGCGCAAACTTTCCCGAAAGGAGAGCAGACTTCGACACTCTCGATCAAGAAGTAGCAGCGGAGACCTTGAAAGTCCGGTTCCTAAAGATTCTTGCATTGAGCGCAACGAACATCCTCTAAACTTTGCACTGGACAAAGATGTTTCAGACGAAGAAAAGCATTCCGCTGCCGCTGTCGACGTCGCTGCAGTGCAAGTTGTTGCAGCAGAGAGGCTTCCTGATGAAAAAGTTCTTGATCAGAGTGATCACAGCAATGAGAAAACAGAGGCGGCCGTGAAACACGAAAAGAATCGCAAGATCAGCTTCATTGAAAAAATCGACGTCATTGAAGTTCCAGTCGTAAAGCCCGAGGACTCAAAAACAGAGGAAAAATTTGATCCGCATCCGAAGCTCGTCATTCAGGATTCCATTGATGAGCCAGCTGACTGGATTCACGCACCTCTCTCGGAATCAAAAAAAAGAACTTGAGGTTCTCGAGAAGGTATGCGAAGATAATGAAGAGCAGACGGAGAGCCAACTTCCACTGCAGAGTGATACAAATATTACCCCCATGAACGACAAAGATGTTCAGTCAGCAGCAGACAAAACACCTGCCGAGCCATTTGAACAGCCCAACGGCAACAGGCAGCCATCAGTTGAGACTCCAGCAAATGAAGAACAGTCTGAGGACAAAGCAACACTCTCACATGTGATAGATCGAAGCAGGCTATTACAGAAAAATATAATACTGTCTATGTCAACAAGCAGCTCTGACTCGGATGAAGAAGCCGCTCACATGTCTGACGGTCAGAGAAAAAAGTCACAGAAAACTTCGGACGAGTCTAGCTCCTCGTCCAGATGATGGGAAAAGCAGTGCTTCGAAAGCAGCGGTGAAGTCTGATGACAAGAACGAACCCAAGCTCGACACAAATGACGGAGCTGTCAAAGAGCACAAAGAAGAGGGAATTCCAAAGCGTGTAGGCCACGATGAATCCAGCTCACCATCGGAAGGCGATGATGCTAATGAAGCGTTACAGAAAGAGAAGACTGTTCCATCATCAACTGCTTCTGGTCAAGGACACCCTTGTGTTCCTTTGGAAGACACCAGTGCAAAGAAAAAGACCAAATCTAATTCAGAGGGCTCTGAGAGCTCAACATCATCTTCAGACAAAAACGAAGCAACAAAGAACGCATCACAGAACAAGAAGAAGAAAAAGAAGAAGAGGCGGAAGAGGTCGAGTGGTTCTAGTTCTTCATCAGATGACAGCAGCGTTACTAAACAAAGTCGAAAGAAGGACAAGGCAAAACCAAAGTTGACAAGCTCCGGAAGCTCAAGCTCATCATCAGATGACAGCAAGGCTAAGGCGGAAAAGTTACAGCAAAAGAAAAAGGAGACCAGCTCTAGCAGTTCGGACACCGACAAACATGAAAGCAGTGCTGAGAAAGGAGCCTCAAAGAAAGACGATGTCAGTGAAAGGTCAAAAACATCGAGTGGATCCGAAAAAAGAGCGTCAAAGTCTCGATCGGTGTCATCTAGTAGCAGTGGCTCATCGTTAGACCACAACGGCTCCCAAAAGGAAGCATCAAAGGAAGACAAACCAGCGTCAAAGCCTGAGAGTCGTAAAAGCTCCACCTCATCTTCAGATAACAACAAGAAAGGTGAAGCACTCCAGGAAGAGAAAGATAGGCCAAACACTTCAGATTCCAGTACCTCAAGTTCGTCTTCAGATGACAGTAGTACTGAAAAGAAATTACCGAAGAAGGACTCGAGAAAGACAACATCTCGAAGTTCTAGAAGCTCCAATTCTTCTTCAGATGACAAGGACGCTGCGGTTGAAGCAGCGACAAAGAAAGAAGAAGCAAAGTCGAGTTCTAAATCTTCCAGTAGCTCGTCCTCAGATGAAGGCAAATGTGACAAGAAGCGCTCAATGAAAGACAAAGCAATGCCAAAGCGGGCAACCTCCAGGAGCTCCAGTTCATGCTCAGATGACAGAGAAGGTAAGGGTAACACGACGCAGCAAAGAAATGCGACGGTGAAACCAAAGTGCTCTGAAAGTGCCGACACATCTTCAATGCCGATAGTGATCGGGAAGGCTTCTCGAAGGAGGAAAAGGCTAAGCTTAAAAAACAGAGCTCTAAAAGTTCCAGTTCATCTTCAGATGACAATGCTGCTACAACTGAGGTGAAGCGGAAAAATAAGTCAAAATCCAGCTCAACGACATCCACTAGCTCTAGCTCGTCTACAGATGATGACAAAGCTCAAAACAAAGCCTTGAAGAAAAAGAAAAACACGTCTCGCTCAGCAAGCTCCAGTTCATCTTCAGATGGCAGCAAAAGAAATAAGAGCACATCGCAAAAGAAGAAAGCTCAGTCAGGACAGGCCACCTCGAGTAGCTCAAGTTCGTCTTCCGATGACAGCAGTGTTGAGCAAAAAGACGCAAAGAAAGACAAAAGCAATATGAAGTCAGCGAGTCCTAAAGGGTCCAGTTCAACTTCAGATGAAGAAACGAGAAAAAGGCACACATCACCTAAGCCGGCAAACTCAAAAGACAGTTCATCGTCGGCAGAGGATAATGTTACATGTGGGAACTATGCAAATGAAAAGGAGAAAAGCAAGAAGAGAGAGCTATCACCAGCCAGGACGTCAAGCCACAGTGAAACCAAATCGGCTTGTCAAGGAAGCAATGCTGAGAAAGAGTCGATGCTGGAAGAGCAAGTCAAGCTGAGATCGTCTTCAAGTATCTCAAGCTCCACGTCGGAAGATGAAGGAAAACCGTTGGATAGGTCTCGTGAAAACGCAGCAATGACTGAAAAGCAGGATGACATGCCACACACTGACGATATTTCTGACGATCGCAACCAAATCAAGTTAGAGGTTTGCGTCAATGAACAACCGTCTTCCAGCGTGGCTGACGATATCGAGAGTCAAGTCAAATTACCTTCCTTAGAGCTAGCGACCACAAGTGATGTCAGCGAAAACAAAGCAGCTGAAAACGACACCGAAGTCAAAGACAAGTATGTCCCTTCGAGCGCTGAAACTTTGGAAGTAAAAGTCAACATTCTTGCAGAGACAGGTGACAGTGCTCAAGAAACTGCTCCTGAAACAGAGGCCATCAAAAACATCGAAGTGTCTGTTGACATATCCCTTGGCCAACAGCTTGTCCGGTCACGATCAGATGTCGAAGACGATGCTGAAACGCAAGAAAGACCAATGACGGTTACTGTCCTTCCCAGTTGCGCTCACATACGACCAGATGAACCAAAATCGAAAGGTAGATCAGACTCTGAGTCATCATCTATCAGTGAGGAAATTGGTGTTCAAGAAGAGACCCAGAAGACCGGCACATGTACCGAAACACCTGTGATACGAGACACCACTCCGGGCGATTCCCTCGGTGAAAACAAGACAGGAGATGAAGTCGAAGTACCGATCGATGTAGATCAAGAATTGGATTTCGATGTAGTTGGTCTGGTGAGCAATGTCGTGAACGAGTCACGTAGCCCAGTGCACCTCACCACACAAGGAGAGATACAAGACTCCCCAGTCATAGTTGAGAAGATTGTGACTGATGTAACGCAAGAAAATGCGCCGTTGGGAAAAGACGATGCACTGGAGCGGCGCTCGTCTACTTCCAGTGAGTCTAGTTCTTCTGGCAGTGACGGTGAAAAAGGTGGAAAGATGAACGTGGATGCACCGATATCTGACCTAGTGCCCACATCGAAAGAAGACGTCATTGTGAGGTGCGACGAACAGAAGACGGAGAATCAGCCTGCTGCTCCCATGCCCAAATCAGAAGTGCTTGAAGACAGCGCTGAGGAACAGCAAGTCGATGCGGGGAAGAATGACATGCAAGATTCACCCTTACCCAGTACAAATGAAACGAGCTCCCCAAAAAGTGAAGAAGAGACCCAGCAAAGTAAAGAGACCTCTGAACCAAACCAGTCCTTTTCAGACAATGAGTACCAAACGAAAGAAACAAACCTTCCGACCTTCGCCGTAGACGATCAAACGGGAAAGCAATGGAGAAAGAAGTCTAGGACATCTGACACAAGTAGCTCCAGCAGTCCGTCTGACGACTCTGAGGACTCCATCAAAGCGAAAACGTCAGAAGCAGCACATGAAAAAATTGTTCGCGCATCTAGCTCTTCATCTTCCAGTGAAACATCTGCTGAGCAGGATGAAAAACTCAGCCCAGAAAAGACACCTAATGTCATCGAAGACCTATGCGATGCCATCATTCCCGAAAAACCTAGTTCTGCCTCTCACGAAGACAAGAACGTAGTGAAGAAAGAAGGTAGCAATGAAAAGAAAAATGATGTCAAGACAGAAGACCCAACGGTGTCAAACACATCGAGCTCAAGTCACTCCAGTGAATCGTCCGTTGACGATCACCGAAGGGATAGTGCAGAGCATAATGAAAAGCAGGACATGGTGAAACAGGAAGATGAACCGTCAACTGTCTCGTTGGATATTGAAGTTGATATCATGAAGGAAGTCGACAAACCAGCTGGAGAATCTGGCAAAAGTCCCGAACCAGAGACCTCTGTCGTGCTAGAGACGCACATGGCTTCCCAGTTTGCAGTTGCGGAGGAATTCCCTTCTTCAGATTCTGAAGACCAAGAAGCGCACGAGGTAATAATTGGCATCGACAAAGTAGAACCGACTCAAGCTGTTGAGAGACAGTCACCTCCTGCGACTGAAGTCGTAAACGCTGAAATGGAAGCTGAAAACGGCATTGACGATGGGACCTTCGGAAAGAAAGAGCGCACCACTGTAGAGGTAGCTTCCTCTTGTGATGAAGGGGAGCGGAATAGTGTTCCCGAAAGCCAAGATGATTCCCTTGCTATCCTGGTTACGAAAATTGTCCCAAATGAAAATGAAAGTCAGGAAGAAATCCTTACAGAGGTGACAAAGTCCGAGCTTGACCAAACTCCCCAGCACATCCCGACACCTCTTGATGACATCAGTCAGCTTCCTGTTTCTGTTCCGAAAGAGGAAATTTCATTGTTCCAAAGTCCAGAGTGTCTGTCGGAAACGCCAAAAACTATTGCAGAAAGTTTTGACAACAAAACAGAGACACAAGAAAGTTTGAAACCAGCAGCACCATCTTCTCTGCCAGCTTCAACCAAGCCAAGCAGAAAGTATAGTGACCAATACTCCAACTTTGAAACACCTCGTGATTCACGATACCGACTACAAGACATGCAAGAACGCAGTAAGTCGTCTGTCGGCCAGCAAAGAACACGGATACGGCCACAGGTCGAAGTGACGTCAGCTGTCTTGCCTTGTTTGGTTGAAGTAAGAACAGCATTGCCGCCATCTGGAATTCCCTCCGAGGTTCTTGAGAACATGGAAAATGTCACTGATGTCATGAAGGAAGAGAAGCCTCCTAAGGTAGCTGAACTAATCGTGCCAGAAACGTTGACAAATGTCAACCAAGGAAACAAAGAGATGGAGAGCTTGCCAGTTGGAGACAATGTCGTCGAGGTTTCATTGGAACAACACTTATCAGCAATGGACGAAAAACATTCCCCCGCTGCTGTCTCCAGTAGCTCAAGCTCGTCTTCGGATTCAGAAGAAAACAAAGCCAAAACCGATAAATCTCAAGATTGTGAGAAAGAGAAGAAGACGCCCAAAAAAGAAACCGAACGAAAAAGTAGAGCCTCGTCTAGCAGCACCAGCTCATCATCTGATTCTGATGAAAACCGAAAAAGGAGAAAGACGTCCAGGAAAAGTTCCAGCTCGTCCTCTGATAGCAGCGCTAGGAAACATAAGATAGATAAGCGAAAGGACAGTGCTTCAAAACAACCAGTTGCAGTAAAAAAAGAAAAACAGAAACGTTCGAGCTCGTCAAGTTCCAGCGATTCACACGAAAAGAGGCAGCATAGAAAAAGTGATACGTTGGCAACTGCAGAAGTCGGCGACAAAGTTGCTATTAGTACTTCTAGTGACTCAAGTTCTGACGAAGGCGCTACCAAATCCCATCGTAGAAATTCCGTTGAAAAGGAGGGAAGGAAACCATCGAGCAGCGATAAGGAAGAAACTGCGCCTGACCTGAAAGACAAAAGAAAGCCAACGAAAACGAGCAGCTCTAGCGGGACGAGCTCTTCATCATCTTCATCGTCGAGTGATGAGAATGCTAAGCCGGAGAAGGAAGCATCCAAGTCATCATCATCCACCAGCTCTAGCTCTTCGTCCTCAGAAGACGATGTGAAAAACTCACATACACATGATCGTAGAAAGAAAAAATCACATGGGTCTTCATCAGATGACACCGAAGTCAAAAAGTCAACCGAAAAGAAGGAAAAGGTGAACAGAAGTGGGAGTAGTGTATCCTCGAGCTCAGATAAAGAGGGCTCCCAAGCTAAGACAAGTGGAAGTGAAAAAGGACATCCATCGAGACCCCACAAAACATCAGAATCATCTAAGTCTAGTGATTCAAGTTCATCCGATTCAAGATCATCGGACTCAGAAAATGAGGCGAAGAAGAGGAAGGATGTGTCGTCTGTTCCTGACGTAAAAGAAGCTACGGATGAGCCTCATCCAAAGCTGCCATTGGCGCCACCACCAACGTCCAGATTACCCCTACAAACGTCGCGCGATGAAGAAATTCTGGAAATCGTCGAAAAAGTACTTGAGGACAGTGAGATAGGTAGTCTTGATCGAAATGCCCCATCAAGCGCCATTCATGAGAGCATAGACGGCAAAAACGACGCTGATCAAATGAAAGACGATGCCTTGCCTACTTCTGATCAAAACGGTTTAGAAGATTGGGTTATCGTACCGGAAACGGTAGACGAAACACAGGCTGCACCGCACATCGTTAACGAGAAGACACGTGACCCCGAATTAACCCAACACGAGTCATCAAACCTCCATGGCCCAACGCCAGAAACGATCAGTAAGGAGGAGCCAGTAGAGGGCGAGCGTGGCCAGCCTGTGTCGGAGTGGGTGAACATGTGGGACTCCGCCATCAGTGCGGGCTTGTATCCGACTCCAACAGCTGATGTGTCAAAAAGACTCCAAGAGTTGCATTCAGAGCCGCAACAACCCGAAGCTGCGAGCAACGCCAAGCAGAGTGACCCGGAGACTGCCACGAAGCCAGAAGACGCTCCCTCAGGATCGTCCTCTGTTGAGGCACCTCAAGTGATCGCCAAAGAGGAGGCTGGGATCGTTCGTGCAGAGCCCGCTCGACTGATCGAAGATGAGCCATGTGTCGACACAAACGTGTCCGAGCAGCCACCTGTGAGTGGCGTTGAAGGTGCCTTTGAGGCCATTCTAGTCAATGTCGTGCCAGAACTCCCGATCGATGACAATCAAAGCAAAGTCGAGAAGAACAGCGAAGACCTGGACAAGCCCAGCGAGAAGACCATACGCGATAAGACGGAGGACGAAACGTACCAGGCTTCTCTCTGTTACATTGACCCCGAGTTGCCAAGCCCAGTGGAGAAAGATGGTGACGCGGACAACACTTGCCCGGATCTTATGCGTCCGGAGGACACCCTAAGTGAGTCGCTGCCGGCCTTTGTCCGGGAGCCGGTGCCAGCGGTGTGGAGGAGAGCGTCGGTCGATCGTCAGGTGGGGAAGTTCAACATCACATGCATCATTCGACCGAACGAGGCGCACTTGCATGGCTCCGAGACCCGAGTTACCCCTCCGAGGCAGACGGACAGGAAGTGGCTCAACTTGGAGAACTACACCATCATGCCACCGCCCCAATCTCCGGAAAGTGTCAGGAAGAACACCGCGGAGAGTGACCTGGGGTCGAAGACCACCGTGTACCTGACACCGAGGTCACCACCGAACGCTCGTCAGGAGCTGGTGGCCCTGCGGTGTGTCAGGAACAGTGAGGACGACAGCAGTCTCACCTACCTGCCAGAGCTGAGAGATCTAACACCGGACATAGGCGACGGGGAGAAGAGCTTTCATTGGAACGGCAGGAGCAAAGAGGTCGATAAATCCACGGTGCCTCACTTACATTCCCAGCCTCCACTAGCTGATGTGAAGAAAAAGCGGCTAGCGTATGAAAACGGTAGCTCAGCAGCGCATAAAGAGCTTCGGAAGGTGACGCCGCCACATAATGCCAACTTAGAGGAGCGAAAACAAAAGCTTCTTGGAAGCACCACAGACATCGTGTCCAAAGGTGGGTATTTCAATACGGGGGTTAAAAAGTGTATCAATAGCCAATTACGTAAAGTACCGGCCTATCTGGCTATGGAGCTGACTTGATAGAAAAAGCTGCTGATCATTGTAGTCAGATAACAAGTAACTGCTGACTAAATATGTCACATTGATGCACGCCCTAATGGGATGAGATCGGCAGTTTCTATCTGCATTATGTAACCATTTATCGCGTGTATCTACTATCTAATTTGGCCAATGCTTTCCTAACTACTTATCAATTTTGACAATGTATAAGGTTTTACCGGCTGTTTCGTGCTCTTTTTTCACCTAATGATACACATAGTTTAACGATAATTGATCTTATTGCTCTCTTCCCTCATGGAGTGCACCCTGTTCATTGCTGATCAAGGCCGGATGGAGGGTGCCAGCGTCTGCTAACCTATCCCCCTCCCACCCCACAGTGAAACAGCCGGTAGCCGAGCCGGGCAAAGTCGGTCGCCTTCGCGCCATGTTTGAGCAGATGGACGCAGCAGCAGCCAGGGCACCGGGACGAGACGAAACGCTCCGGGACTCCCGCCGCTTCAAGAGCATGATGAACGTGACTGCGCCTTCGACGACGGGCCGAAGCAGTCGTCTGGAGGAGCCAACTCTGAAAGAACGCAGTCGCAGCACTGCTGCCCTTCACCGAGCGCCATCGGGTGGGCTCGGAGCTGAGCTGTCGGTCGCCCCAGAGTCTGTGAAGGAGCGTAGTCGTAGCACAGTCAACCTGAACCACCGAGAAGGCGATGAGAAGCCTTCCTGGGACGCCGTAGACTCCGGATCGATCAAACATCGCAGCCGAAGTACGGTGGGGCTCAATGGAACCTCGTCTGCGTCACCCAGAGCCGGGCTTTCCGCTGCGCCGGACTCAGTCAAAGAGCGGAGTCGCAGCGCTGCCACTCTACACCAGCCAGAGAAGGCTGACAAGGGTGAAGACGCCGTGGACTCCGCCCCGGCGAAAGAGCGTAGTCCAAGTGTCTCAAGACAGCCTGAAGGGTCACTCTCACCCCAAGGACCCACCGGTCACGACTCTCCGCCTGCGTCGTCTGAATTCGTCACCCTGGAGGAGCGAGATCTCTCGTCCCGCGCTCTGGACGAACTTGAAGACGGCGATCATCAGGCGAAGCTGGACGCCATCCGGCGCTACTTCGAGGGCCTGCAGGACGGCGACATCACCGCCGGCGACGACATGGACATGCTGGACGACGCCCTGGTGCCCGACCGCGGCTACAACCGCTCGCTGCCGCGCCTGGACGCCAGCGCCTCCGACCGGCGGCCGCCTCTGACAGACCTCTTCACCGAGCCGGAGCGCGGCACGCGGTCGCTGAACCGCTCGGCCAGCTCGCCTCTGGTGAGCGCCGAGGGTGCCGGCGGCGCGGCCACCCTGCTGGACCAGGTGCGGCAGCTGCGGCGTCGGCGGGCGTCCGGAGGGGCGCTCTCGCAGACCAGCCTGGCCACTAGTATTGCCAGCACCGCCGAGCTGGCCAGACACAGAGACGACGGCATCGTGGTGTTCGGGCCCGGCATGTGCCAGGGCAAGGTCAACGCCGTCAACCGGTTCCAGGTCAGTTGAGAGCAGCCTGTCCTTCCTCTCCTGATCTTGTGGTACGATAACGTACCCAGGTGGGCGGAGGGAACTCGATCTCTATGTGTTCTCGTAGTGCTCCGGCCTTAGTGTTTCTCTTTGCGTCGTAGGCTTTAAAGTTGTAATTAATTTAAGTCCCCCAATTAAAATGTTTGACCTATTACATGTCAAAACTAATGTAGTTTATTATATCCGTGCAGTTGAATAGTGCACTTTTTATGAACAAAGTACGATAATTTATCCCAGATCAATATGATGGAAGGGACTAGGTTTGGCCATTGACCAGTTGATTAAAGTTAAAAAGGTTGCACGGCATGTAAAACATTCTCTAGTGCTCTCTATCAGCTCTATCAGCTTTTTGTGGGAACACAATTAGGCCACAGTAACATGCACAGTACTTCACACTCACAGTACACACACCTCATTTCCGATTCCTTACATGATCAGTGCAGGATAAATACTCAAAGCATGAAGAACTTTATTACCTCAATTTGGCCGTAATGACCATAGGTAAATGACATCATCAGGATTTCATCAAGCCGAAGAGAACACTGAATATGAAATGGCAAAAAATCGTATCAACAGACAACATTTTGATCGATTCTACTCGAATGGAAATCAGGAACTTACATTTTAGTTTCTATTCGCGAAACGCAGTCGTCACCCTGTTAAATGGCTGGATATGTTTATTGCCAGGTCAACTGGCATACCTTCAGATCTGGTAGGTCATCTGAACGGCTTTTCACTCTCTTTCCGGAATACATGCAGATCGACCTAATTGTGTCATTCGGCTATTCGGAAAGCGTTTTCTGGATACGAGACAGATGTCAAGACATCTCTTATTTCCTTTTAATTTCCGGTCCGATGTCTTTAGATGAGAGTGATGATCGAAAGATGCGGAGAGAGAGAGAAAGAGAGAGAGAGAGAGAGAGAGAGAGAGAGAGAGAGAGAGAGAGAGAGAGAGAGAGAGAGAGAAGAGAGAGAGAGAGAGAGAGAGAGAGAGAGAGAGAGAGAGAGAGAGAGAGAGAGAGAGAGAGAGAGAGAGAGAGAGAGAGAGAGAGAGAGAGAGAGAGAGAGAGAGAGAGAGAGAGAGAGAGAGAGAGAGAGAGAGAGAGAGAGAGAGAGATTATCATTTGTGTATGTGTATGGCAGTGGTACAAAGGGGAGTGATCAGAATCCTCTCGTCTAATCAACACGTCTCTTCAAAACCAGCATATCACCTGACCGACCAGCAACACTCGATGTCATCCGTTGGGACCCACGTGTGTGAATGCTTTCCTCGATTGGCAGACTGGTTCTGAGAGGTTCCCTGCCCACGCTACCCCCTCGTACAGTCTCTCCCTCTGCGACCAAACTGTTCATCACCCGTTCGCCCGGACCCGTCTTCGCGGTGTGCCGCAGACCGGCGGTCGTTAGCCTAACGACTCCCCGAAATGGCCCCGTGCCGAACCCGATAGCTCATCATATGGCGCCAGTTCCGTGAGCATACATATTAGACGGATGTCTTGGATTCAATCGGGCCTTATTGGCCGGGGACCGACTGGCCAGTGCGGCGCCGGTTGTAATGGATAGGCCCCGGCGACCCGCTCTGTCCCCATTCCGCCGCCCCTGCCCAGGACACCTCGCCGTCCCCGCCCAGGACTTCCCCCCGCCCCCTCCGCCCCAGCAGATCCCGCCACCCCCACCCCAACGAGCATGCCGCCCCCACCTCGCTAACGAGCCGCGCTCGATCACCGAAGATATGATTGCTGATTCCTATTCCACATGGGAACATCGTCACTTTGTGTATTGTGCGAAGCATAGCTTTACAGCGTGATGGTGTTTTTGACGGTCCAATCGTTGCATAACTCTCGCATCAAAATATCGGTTATGCTAAAAAGATAAAAATTATTACAGCATCTTTCAAACGCACCAGTAAAGTAGAACTGGCTCTTTCATCTTCAAGCAGCTGTATGGAACGGAGGTGGCGTGGTGCTTTGAACAATCCGATGAAAATTAGTTCTTTTCCTCATCGTTATCCCTCCCAGCGCTGGCTCAGCCGTCTCAGAGCGTATCAGCTGGCGGAGGCAGCCAATTACCGAGCGCTATGCGCCGAAACTAGCGCTCAGAGAGGAGCTCAAATGCCTGATCAACATATCGTCGGCGGACGTCAGAAAGGTGCCGTCACTCAGCAGCGTGGCAATGCATTTTGTGAATAGCGAAAGTGAAAGGAAATGAAGATTACGAGTACAGATGTAAGGAGTTATGATAACATTTAATAGACGTTTTTGACGGCAGTTATTTTACGTAATGCTTCCTCTGGGACTTAATTGTCGGACGAGCTAGTGCCTGATGAGTGGCGATAACACATACTGCATGTCGGCAAGATATTGTCGGAATGAGTGGCAGTGATAATGGCACCAGCACATAAGACAAGTCGGGCTGGTGCTGGCAATGCGCCCGTGTCGTGGTCTGAGTCGAAGTTTGCATCTTTTTTAGTTAACCCGCGAGTTGCTGGGGGGGGGGGGGGCGTTAAACGCCCCCACTTTTTTCGCCGGGCCATAGAAACGGGCCATAAAAACGGCGCGCCGCAGGCGCACCAAATTTTGGGTACCTGTAGAGAATTGATTGAAGTTTGTTGTGACAAAGTTTCAAAAATATCGGTCGGAAATTTTTTGAGATATCGAGGTTTTAGTGACGTCATGATTTCTGAGTTTTCGACCAAAAACGGCATATGTTCAAAAAATCATATAAAATCACAAAATAGACATACAGACATAGCGTAAACGCCATTAAACTGCCAATACCACGAACAATCAAATGGCTATCTTCGATTATTGATTATCGTTCCGAATTTTCCAAAATCTTGAACTGAATCTTGGCAATTTCTCGTGACTACTTCACGACCATGATACATACATTTCTTAAATGTAACTTTTTTAGCCAAACACGTACACATATGATAAAATGAATGTGACCATCGTGTTCTACGCCCCAAATTACCCATAAAACATGTGTCACAGGCTGCGAATATCAGTTTTGATTTTCGGAGATATGTGCCTACCCGGTTGACCTGACCTTGACCCTGACCTATGCATGACTGACCCCTACATGGAGCTGCCACTCTTGTAGGCCTTATTTGATGGATTGCGCACCGTTTTGGCAGATTTTATGACGAGAGGCGCCCATTGCGAAGTCCTGAAGTCCATGCTACTGAAAGCCCGATTTCAGGTGTTTGACCTGACCTTGACCCGACCTGTGACCTCAAAATTCAACTTTAAAGTACTCAACTGAAGCGTCTCGTCGCGTTCTTTCGTTTGCCCCCTCGTGCGTTTCGCTGCGCCTATTGGTTCTCGAGTTATCGGCTGGGGGCGTTTAACGTCCCCCCCCCAGCAAACGGTGGGTGGCGATATACCCCAGCAACTGCCGGGTTAAAATGCCGTAGGCAGCGCCTGCGTCTCAACGTCTAATGTGTTCATCGCTTGATCTTTCTTCGTTTGCGACAAATACTAACCTCTTGGAAAGATGGTACGAAGAAACATTTTACATATTACCTAATATTCACCTATAGTATGACAACATGCATCGTATCCACACTTAATTGCGTTCCGTTTCAGCAAACCCAATCGTTAGGCGACGGACACGGTGTCGCAAGGAGACCCTAATCCATCAGTTCCCGATCCCATGTACGCGCACAATGTACCCGAAAATGCCGACTTATGTGTAGAGCATGAGACTATCCGGCCCGGGAGACAGACACCACCTCCCCTACACGTGTGTGGGAGGCCACAGCACCTGGGGTGAGGGACCCCCGGCGGCTGGAAGGTCGCGCAACTTTGCGCCGTGCTCCGTTCTAACGGCGGCGAGCGGCGTCCGTTCCACCGCCGGGCCGTGCCAACTTCTCCCAATATTTTCCGGCAATGGTTGTTCTACCCGTGACGTCTCTCACCTCCGGTCGACCATTGATTGGATCCGCTAAAGGTTGGCGTTTGAACCAGGCAGAAAGATAGCCATGATTTATGAAAACGTACAACAATGTTATTAGTTGTAACATACAGGAGCTGTTGTGTTATGCCGACTGTACGTGCGGCTGAAATAAACACCTGCACTAAAAGGGAACCACTGACCAATTATGTGACCACTGTCACAGTCCTCTGCCATTTATTGTTCCGTCCGCCCGCCGGCCGTCCCTCCCCGTCCGAAATTGGTCCAATCGGGTAGCTGACAGACAGTCCGGTCGTCCGCTCCAATGGGAGTTGGCTCCACATATAGACGGTCATCGCCGGTACCACAAACGGTTCTGTCAGTAGGCGAACTGCGGATCCGGGCCTGGGTCGCCCATACGACAGCCCCGGCCAAAACGTCCACCCCAACGCGTCCGGCACCGGCTCAGCGGCGCGGTGTTGGGACCTTTCATATGTCATGGTGTCTCCGTGTGCTACCTGCATTGCATCCTCGCAGGTGGCGTTGATTTTTACATTGTACAGTGCCGATAAACCGCGTGTACATGATCAAAAATGTATTTAACTTATCAATCATTCAGAGGCCATGATGAGGGACCTGTTGTGAATCGCTCTGCTATTACAGAGTATCTTGTATCTTTGTGACAGTTTGCCAGCTGATACCCAGAAAAGCACCATGCCTTACCCTGTGATTCTTTCCGTCAGATTCTGGTGCCGCACGCCGACCAGGCTCCGATGGGGGTGCGGCTCTACAGTCAGCGCACCGATTCCGTCACTCGGGTGGAGCTGCGTGACCTGGGCTGTGACTACCATCAGGTGGCCTACCGGGTCAACCAGCCCGGCTGGTACCGACTGTATGTGCGGCTCGGCGGCGGCGCCCGCCACGTGGACCTGATGACCAAGGTGTCACACTAAGCGGGTGAAGGAGAGGTCACACTGAACGGAGCTGGTGTCACACTAAACGGAACTGGTGTCACACTGAACGGAACTGGTGTCACACTGAACGGAGCTGGTGTCACACTAAACGGAACTGGTGTCACACTGAACGGAACTGGTGTCACACTGAACGGAACTGGTGTCACACTGAACGGAGCTGGTGTCACACTAAACGGAACTGGTGTCACACTGAACGGAACTGATGCGATCCGCTGACCGGAAGGGAACCGAGGTGTCTTTACGAGAAGGATGCAGTCGGTACAGAGATGTCGCTCTAAACCCGAAACAGGTGAAATGTCGCGCCGATACGACCTCTTCCAGCTAGAAATCGAACAGGAATTTACTATGTAGTTTTAACTCTCAACCTATTTTTAATTAAAAAAAGCCAATGCGTTTCTGCTAGACGTTCGACAATGGGTGCGGAGCCGAACATAGTATTCCATTCTAGCAGAACGCATGACGTTCACATTCCAGCCCGACACCAGTGCTTAAAAGAAGCCAGCTATACTTACAGTGTTTCAGACATCGGAAATGAGCTACACGCCCAGTGATTATTGCAGCAAGGCTCGCGAGCGTCCAGGGCCTGCGAGTGGGCTGTTTGGTTAGTGCCTCGTCGTTGCTCCGTGAAGCAGGGACGGGGCCGACCGTCGCATCGCTGTTTAGCCGTGTATTCCGTTTAGCCACAGTGTTTGTTGCGTGACTAGATGGTACGATAATCGGTGCTCGCATTACCAGTCGGTGGCCAATACGCTACAGGACGGAAATCATTGCTTCATGTCGTATATTTGCTTCCATCGCGGCGTATTGCCATTTGTCTGCATATGTTTATGGGATTTCCTGGCGTGTTTTGCTGGGGCATTACGCTCGAACGATGAGCAGAACGCGCTGTGTAACCGTTTATTGCGACCCGGTTATATTCGGAGCTTTCCCGAATGGCAATGATGCAGCATGTCCACCGTACAGAGGGTCAATGATCGGGCCTATTTGGGGAGTGAGATGGATTTGCTGCGTGTGAGGGAGTATAGTATCGACAAGGCAGCTGTTATTATATATGAAAATATTTTTGTGCCTAGTTGTGCGTCAATAAGTGATTGATTAAGAAGTGTAATTGCTTTTATATCCGATTAATGATTGCGTGTTTTGTTTAGAGATGCAGATTCACAAATGATTTTATGCTTATGACTTTTGTATACGCATGGAGTCTTGCGAACGAGCATCTAATTAGCTCATGCCACCGCAGATTTTTTGAAGATGTGGCATCCTTTGCGCTGGCATTCGTTCATAAATGTGTGCATTGATAAAGCGTTGTATGTGATTTTACCTACCAATGGACGGTAGAATGTTTTGTGGGCTCCAATCAAAGCAATATACAGTCCAATTTATTCGTGCATTTTGTACTTCCGAGAAGTAGCATTGCACAATTTTTAGCTTGCGAAGAACAATATGTCAGTGTCCCATTGATCTCGCCATGATGCATACAGGGTGATCAATAATGAATGACATAAAGTATGACTACCTTGTGACCCTATTCATTGACCTCGGTCCAACCGATGACGTCACAGGTCAGGTCAAAGGTCCAATTTTCACCGTTTACATGCATTTCACGAAATGCGTTGTAAAATCGAGTAAATAGGCATGTTATTGGAAATCATCGATGTGGGAATTGTCCAATTATGCTATTTGAGGTAATTGATACCAGGTCAGGTCACAGAGGTCAGGTCACTGAGGGTTACAATACGAAAATGTCGTGCGATATATGTTTTATGGCCCATTTTACATGACAAATGAGATTAAGTGGGTCAGACAGCCTTTGGGGCCAATTAAGGTTATGTTCTGGTGAAGGTCAGGTAAATGTCAGGCCAAATTAGGTCAAATTTAAAAGTTTACATTTTTGCATAAAATGGGTATTGATTTGATGCAGCTGGTCACAGGGAGTCTAATGGTGGTCTTTTTTTGCGCCACATGGTCTAGAATTGCTAAAAAATGAGTTTGAAAATTTAACGCTATCAATTTTGAAGAGTGTTTTCGCTATAAATTGGCCCAAAAAAAGAGGTATGAGTCTCAAATTTGGTATATATGAATAGAAGGTGGTAGGATCTATCATATATTTTTTTCGAAATTTGAAAAACTTTTGGGATTTTTTGGCTCTTATATCCATTTTTTATTTTTGTTGGTCAAAATCCAGAGTTTTCAAAACTCTGAGATAGCAATTTATAGCCCTGTTAATTTTACACCTTTTATGTTGGAACATTTATCTGTAACTTCAAAGCTGTAGGCCAGATAGCTTTTCCCGTGAAACCTTTGTTTGGGTCGAAAATGGCAGAACGTGACGTCATTCTGACGTCATTTGCTGCCAACCATAGACCTCTGTACACCGGTGTACAGAGGTCTATGTGCCAACCTATCATAGTCTCTGGAAAATGGTTGGTAAAATGTGTAAAATTGATGCCCGGAGGGGTCCTGAATGTTTAGTGACGATATCTGCAGTCGTTTAGGAGATATCGACGGAAAAGAAGAGGGATGGTCGTTTTACCCCCCCCCCCCCCCCCCCCCGACATGGCGCGGGTTAGCTCTGTTCTTTCTTAAGTTTGTCAGACTTTTATAGATGGGAATTCTAAGGATTTTCCAGCTGACATAGACAGGTGATAATGTTCACCCGTCACGTTTAGCATTTACCGATCGGTGTCAACAGACCAGCGACGCACCATATGCGCATCAGCGATAATGTCCAACATTCAATGCGTCGGAGCTAGTCGCTTCTATGCCACATGCTTATTGCATATAACACCAATGAAGCGAGCCACTCGCAAACTGATGAATGGCGCCTTAACCATCCTGTTATGCCATCCTTTCCAATCAATTGTAGCGCATTGAGCAAGTCTCTTTATTTATATATCACCTGCATCTTACATAACAAATATCACTATCAAATAAAAATGCAGAAGAGGGAATCTCGGTTTCAACTGTGGACATCCAATACCGATGATATTCGCGTGCCGTAGTGTCGCGTGTCTGTCCGAACAGACGCGAGAATATCCACGTGCCTCGCGTGACCCGTGACACCCCCTCTCCTCTCTAGCTGAAGGGTGGCAGCCAATAACCGTCGTACTCACCCATGGCCGTGAAAGAATTCACTCCATGTCAGTTCAACTGTCCCACAGGAGCGGAGAAGCAACATCAATTTGAATATCTACGGCTGGAGATTGTTTTTGGCGATTGCTTGGAATGCGTTAGATATTGGGCGCTGATTTTTAGCATGTTTCACCTTTAATTCAGGACTTCTGTTGTGAACGACCCGCATTTTCAGGTCAGGTCAGGTCAAGTCATTGACGCATGGTTTCGCCCGTGAAACTCAATTAAATTGTACACAGTGTTGAACGCAAGTACCTATAGCGATTCGAATTACAAAAGATTACTATGTTGTTTGTATTCATTTGGACGAAATCCAAAATCTATACAGAAGTTTACCAAATGACTATTTTTGTTAGATTATGCTAAATCTACACTATGTAGTACAGCAAATGTAGCTAGTGCTGCAAACTTAGTCGGTACCGTAATACCAAGGTTCAAGCGACTATTATTTTATCAAACCAAGACTTTGATGAAATAACAATGATGCCTCTTGGTTTGATAAAATAACAGTTGCCCGACAGACTTCAGTCGATCTGTCTGGGTGTGAAGCATCCCTTGCAGTCGGTGTGCCCTGAAGCTCTAATTAACGAAGTAACTCTACCTGAAGGATTGTAAGCCTGATGTAATATTTTTGCTTGCTAAGTATGTAGATGACATTCAGACGACTCATGGCGTAGACTTTGCTCCTATGTATCGCTTGAATAATTACTGATGCGAGCAATAATTATTCTCCTCCGTTTCATTTCACAGAGGCCCGTTACACTAATAAAGTTATGCAATGTGTGCTATCGTTTTCACTTTCAAATGAAGAGAACTTTATTAAGCTCGTTCACACCTGATGAACATAACGCAGAGAACTTTTAACAGCGATTCCGTAATGATCTCTAGCTTGGACAAAGTGCGATCCTAGCATGGCGAGCTAGCTCTCGCCCTGGTAAGGGGTGCGTTGATGCGACCCCTCCCCCCCCCACTCCTGATATTTTTTGCGATGCGCGCCGAGCTATCAGTCGGATCGTGCTGAAATTTTAAATAGCTTCTGGGGCATCCTTTACGCAACTACTGGTAAAAATAAACGGTTTCAGTTCATGTCAGGTCACCGAGCTATGATGTCATAATAGGTACAGCCTCCGACCGTTTTTGACTAAATCGTACCTTCCGCGTAACTGGACGTGATCTCATCGACAAGAACGAAACTATTCCGTGTGACATACCTATGTCAGAATTTGACTGGACATGAATATATACAGTGTCCACGTCAAAAGTGTACCCAGACTTTTCTCCATATTTTATCTTAAAAACATCACACTCACGAACAATTGCCCTCGTTTGAGAGCCAAGGCAATGGCAAAACATTTGCTATGCTTTTCAACTGTGCTCGGCACTCTGCTGACCAGCGCGTGCCGTCTAGAGCAACTGCTCTATATGAGCCCCTTTGCGTCGGGCCACCGCCGGCAGATGGAACGTCTGGAGGTGGGTGATCGCCTGGTCAACCATGTGGGAAGGAAGGCGACGGATCTCGTCGATGATGACGTCTTTCAGCTCCTGGGTCGACCCTGGATTGCCAGCGTATGCACAAGTCCTTGAGAAAGCCCCACCAGAAGAAATCTAGAGGGCTGAGGTCGGGCGAGTGGGGAGCCCATTCCACCGCGCTTTTCAAGCTGATGTGGCGGTCAGGAAAGTGCTCCTCCAGGAATTCCAGCGACCGTTTGGCGGTGTGAGGCGGCGCCCCGTCTTGTTGAAGCCATTCTTCATGGCGACGGATCCCGCGTCTCCGCTTCAGCTCTCGCCAGAATCGTTCCAGTGCCTCCGAGGCGTAGCGTTCTAGCGTTACGGTGTTGTGTTCGTCTCTCCCCTATCGTCTTCGAAAAAGAAGGGGCCGATAATGCCCCCTCCATGCCTCATAGCCACCCAAACCGATACTTTCTTGCTGTGCAGGGTTGTATACGACTCACTCAATAGCAATCAATTCAATCACGACAAATTTGGGAAACCAATCAAATCAATCAAGTCAGAGCAGTTTTCGGGAATTGATTCAATCGACTCAAACGCGACAATGAAAGGAATCAATCAACTCAATCAAACGACTCAAACCAAGACATACATGAGGTTTTTTGCCCCACCAACTTGGAAAAGTGCCCATAGCAGTCTGGTGTACCTACCTACCTACCTACCTACCTATAACAGAAGAAACATAGAAATATTGTCATTTAAAATTATAAATTGCCATGCCATTCAAAGTTTCTATGTAATAAGGAAGGATATCTAGTGATGGACAGGTGGATCATGATATTGAGGTTCAATGGGTAGAATTAGAGCAGAAGTTTCATTTAATGGTTGCAAAATAACCCAGTAGTTGACTCGCCCCTTAACCCGCGCCCCGTAGGGGGGGGGCCGATACGGCCCCCCCTGTCCTTTTCGGTCGATATCTCCTAAACGGCTGGAGATATCGCCACCAAACTTTCAGGACCCCTCCGGGCATCAATTTTACACATTGTGACCAAAAATTTTTTCAGAGGCTATGATAGGTTGGCCACAAATGACGTCAGAGTGACGTCATGTTCTGTCATTTTCGACCGAAAAAAGACCTTCGCGAGAAGATCTGTCAGGACTACAGCTTTGAAGATACAGAAAAATGATCAAGACATAAAAGGTGTAGAATTGACAGGGATACAAAACTGTTATCTCGAATTTTTGAAATTTTTGAGTTTTGACCCCTAAAAATAAAAAAAAAATCATTTTTTTGGATATATTCGCCAAAAAATCCAGAAAGTTTTTTGAGTTTCGAAAAAAAACCGGAATATATGTGATAGTGCCTACCGTCTTCTATCTACATACCAAATTTCAGATCGATACCTCGTTTTTTGGCCAAGTTATAGCGAAAAAACTGTTCAAAAATGATGACGTCAAATTTTCAAACTCAATTTTTGGCAATTCTAGAACTCGTAGAGCAAAACGAAGACCACCATTAGACTCCCCGTGACAAGCTGCATCGAATCGATACCCATTTTATGCAAAAATATCAACTTTGAAATTTAACCTAATTTGACCTGACCTTGACCTGACCTTCACCAAAACGTGACCTAGGCTGGCCCCAAAGGCTGCCTAACCCACATAATCGCATTTGTCATGTAAAATGGACCATAAAACATGTATCACACGACACATTCATATTGTGACCCCCGGTGACCTGACCTCGCTGTGACCTGACCTGGTATCAGTGACCTCAGATAGCAAAGTATGTGTTTGACGA